AATGAGTTTTATTAGTATTTTGGCAAAATAAAATATTATCTGTTTCAGATGGGAACACTTCCAGCTAGCAAGCACCAGATATTTGTGTTTTGTTTCAAATGTCAGAGATCATATCCAGTAATATTCTAATGGTAACATGGTATTTGTAATTTATTTCTCTGTTGCAGACAGTGGCGCCTAATTACTGATAACATGGAGGAACTAAACGACCTTGAAAAGAACGAAACAAGTATCATTTAACCTGTACATTATATGTCAGGAAGATTGTACAGTACCTCCACGACGTCACTCCACAAGGATTGACCACTATTGCTATTGCTACACAAGAGCGCAAAAAGCTTAGAGATCTGAAATACAAAGACATGGTAGACAGACAGACTACTGACAGTGTTAGATCAATGTTCATAGTTTGGCACAACTACTGTTATGATAGTTACACATGTAGAAACAATATACAGATATTAATGAAAACCAATGTACCAGCGTGTAGTGCTTCTTGTAGTTCTGACTATCCATTAGCGTCTGTGGAAGAAGTGCGTGACTTTCAATTAAGTTCTTGTAGCAGCGTACCACCAATTAATTGGGAATTATGCTTTTTCTGTTAAGAATATATTCCAATCGAATAGTTGGCATCTGTTACCACATTCAACATCAACAAAACATATTGAGTGCAGCAATGTTTGTTCAGAAGAACATGTGTTACAGATTTAAATTACTTGATTGCTTTTGAGGGAAAATACCACCTCATCTGCTACATAAAATTCACCAGAAATACGACCAAAACTAAAGACCAATCACAAAACAGCAACTATTCAGATATAATATTGATTTAGCTTTGTGATGAACTGAAAACTTCTGCTGAATATGGTGATATATTAAAATTCAATGACGAGGAACCCACTTTGAGACTAATAATGGTTGGAGACGGCTTGAATGGGTAATGAAGAAAACTTTAATATAATGACAAAAACCTTGTCGAAACGTTGTACATTTGCTGTTATGTTAAACTTATATTAAAGTTTTTCTTCATTACCCATTCAAGTCGTCTCCAACCATTATGGTGATATATTAGAGTTACAGGAGGTGTGGAAGAGGTACTGTGCAATTGCTAAAACGTTTAGTGTCGAAATTCCTCATTCGTTCATTAGTAGAATAACTACCTTCAAAGGCAAGCTAGAAAGAAAGATTAGCGAGTTCTACGAAATTCTTCTTCTTCTTCATGATCAAGCACCAACACAACAATGCGCTGTACAAGTTCCTATAAAATTTGGTCACGTTTCTATTTCAATAACGAAACAATCTGTCGATGATGAAGATTATCTTACTGTACCTGCATTCAAACCTCGGGAAAAAGATAAATTCCTCTCCATGATCTATATGGCACTGAACATCAGAGGATGAATTCCTCTCCATGATCTATGTGGCACTGAAAGTCAGAGGCAACATACTTCCCATCCACCATACAGAGGTACTGATGTGAGTTTGTACACGTTTCTCAACCTACTATTTGGTGGCCAGCGTCTACTGAAAGAAAATAAAGATGACAACGACCCACCACATAGCAGCCAAAAAGAATCTTTGAGACGTCGAATCCTAAGTATAGCGCAAAATATTTTCTACATGGTAAATGGGGATACATATCTTACACCTAAGCACATTGGGTTGGGTAGCAGTCTTCATCAGAAAACACATTAAAAAAACTAGTACAAATGTTTCGTAATGGTGGGACATTTTGTCAGTTATAGAGACACTACAAACTGATACAGTCTTGGCTGAAAACACACTAAAGACAATGAATGAAAATAGAGCTGTTATTTCTGCTAAACCTGGTGAAAGATCGTTTTGTACATTTCACAACAGACAACACTGACATTAATGAAACTAGCCTGGGTGGCAAGGACAGCTTTCACTCTACTTAAATAGGAGCATGACAAATAGATCCACCATCTGTTGATCTTCTTGATGATATTAACTTCTAAAAATAGACTTTGATTGTTCCAAAACCTATGAATACTGTTTTCCCTGCCTAGATACTTGACACAACTCATGCACAATTTAAGGATTCTACTAAAGAGATTTGGTTCAATAGTTCCATCGAGGACTGCTCATTAGTACTGAAACCACAGGCTACAGACATTGCTTTCATGCTCACGAGGTGATTAGAAAAGGCCTCACCTACACGAATTGGATTCAACCAAATTCACAACCTGAGATAATACCTGTTGGGCACATACCTATTATTCGGGCACTAGCACATGGCATTGATACTCTTAACACTATAGTAAAAGGATTACATCATATTACTCTGTTTCTCAACTAAAACCATGCTCATGAAATTCCAAAACTAATGGAACTTAATTGGTCTATTACTAATTATAAGGGAGTACTTATGGATTGAGAGTGGTATTGTGGATTCTAACACAGCACATCAGGTCATGGCAGGAAAAACATATGCAAGAGCTAACCAGGTACCAAACATTACACTGCACACATTGTGGCAGCTACTGCTTTCAAAGCTGTATAGTTATTTGGAAGAACATGACAAAGAGCTAAAAGAGGACCTGTCAAAAGTAACGAGAATCCATATGCAGAATTTTCGTGGCAGTACATGGAAATGGTATGTATCATTCTCCTTTACATTAGAACACAACGTGATGGAATATGGGCGTATTATTTATATGCTTTTCAAAGGATCCTTCCATATTCCAGATATGGTACAGTGTATCTTGAAGAAATGAATCAGCTTTGTATTAAAGAAATTTGATCGCAAGTTCAACTAGGTTGATCCAGACCAAAGCCAGGAATGGTTGAATGACACCAGAAAGAAAAGTGGTGGCATTGTTGGAATAACAAGAACTACCTCAACATCGAGTAGATGGGCTCTGCCACATAACCTATTGCGTAACTTGTAGATGTATATATATATATGTATATGTACACAGTGAGTCTACTCCTGCCGGAAGATAATGTAACAGCGATGACGAAGACAAAATAGTCTGTATACGTCAATGATTCAAAGTGGTTGGTGAAAATACTCCATTTGATGTTCTGCAGATCATTGCTACCAAAGATTTAGCAATAGAGAGCATTTATCAATCACTCCTTTGTGCAAAGACACTGTGACAGAAACAACTTGATGCATTTGTCAAGCAGCGGCTTATGCATTCACCTGATGATACACCCCAAATTTAACTCAGCGCACCTTTACTTAAAACAAAGCACCAACATTCTCATCATTGTATGTTGTGAAGAAACAAACCAAGAGCAAACATACAACTATTAAGGCAGACAGGAGCATTTTGCAACAAGAACATTCTGCAACATGAATTAATGCCTGTGCCAACATCACTTGCAGCCGCAAGTGGATGTCTCCATATAGGTAGTGAATCCCTCTTACAAGATGTGTTGATCCAAGGCATAGTAACTTCAACATCAATGATACACACTGGGAACTACTGTTTGATAATAGATGGTAAGGCATTGGTGATGACTCTAGGGAAACCAAGTGGAGCATTAATACTTAGTGAAAATGCAGATGCATTTAGAGCATTATTATATCAAATTTCATAGAATCAATGTGACTTTCACGCCAGCTGAATGTGGAAACATTACTGAGTAAACATGCTTTGCTTAAAAAATGAAATTATAGTGCAATTGGTAGAATATTTACGACAAAATGTTTGAAATATATTCAGAAATAATGTTATATTTGTCAGCTAAATGAATTTTTCTTTTCAAAATTTAGAATATGAGACAAGTAGTAACGTTAACATGGTTAACGCAGAAGAGAGAACATGTCTAAATTTATTAATGAAAACACATTATTGTGAATACGCCTATTGATATGGGTTGATATATCTTTTAAAACTCAGCACAAAATAAAATCAATTGTTCATCAAACATTTTTTGAAAAACAACTATGACTACAACAATAAACCATTATGGAACAGTTGACAAACATGGATTTGTTATTGCTATACTACAGTAAACTTGATTTGTTGTATCTATTCAACAATATTTGTTTTAAATCATGTACAATTCATACTTTAGTGTATATATACAACCTGTAGCTAATCAGCCAAGGTATTCCTGAGTTCAGATAGGTTGTATGACTGATCGACCGACTAGCTAGCTTACTTATGCTTGAGTTTCACTTCCAGGCCCAACTCATCAGAAAATGACAACATTTTACATATGTATAAAGCTACCAGCAACTATTGTTTTTTGCTAAAAGCAGCAAATCACAGATACCGAACAGGTAATATACCCGCCATTTTCTTAACTGAGGGTCAAAGGTTAACATATAGTTTCACAAATAATATTTTAGAAACCAGCAAACGTTAAATGTACTAAAACCACCATTTGCCAACTTTTAACACCAAATGCTTACGTTGCTATTTTCCAGGCACATATTTCAAAATTTTGCCTCTTATAATACTCACAAAATACAGCTTCACAAATCACTCAGCTCAATCGACTTTATTGTCAATACATTACAGAGAGTTTGATAATACAGACAATTTGAGACTGAGAAAAGATATAACATATTCAATATTTAGGTTTTAACAAATTACTGGTGGAACAAGACATTTCACAAACATATTATCAGTAATTCACAGAATATTTTACATTCACAAATACAACACCACGTATGATAATTAAATTATAGGGAACTAAATACATAAGTACCAACACATCATAATATTTGGAGAAGGTATTTAAGAATAGTGAATACATTCTGTTACTTATATAATATTCATTAATTTCTACAGCTGATGTAAACTTGTTGAAGCATTTAACATATTAAATGCTTAGTAGAATGTTAAGTATACATTCAAACTCTATAAGCATTTATCATATTAAACGCTTAATAGTAATTAAAGCCTATATTGAAATTATATAAGCATTTATAATATTAAATGATTAATAGTAATTAAAGCCTATATTGAAATTATATAAGCATTTATCATATTAAGTGCTTAATAGTAATTAAAGCCTATATTGAAATTATATAAGCATTTATGATATTAAAAGCTTAGTAGTATGTTAAGTCTACATTCAAACTGTGTTTAAGTAAACACAATCCAGTTTTTGTATCATGAGCTGCATTTTCACCACAATATCAATGCAAGGTCAGACTGTACTATAAACGTCTCAAACGACATATTTATACACTAATATTTGGCTTTAACATAAAAATAATTAATCAATTAATGTCAATTTTCATTTGTAGCAATAAAGACGTTGATGTCAGCTGGATATATATATACTTTAAGAACGATTCAGAAATGACGACACAATGACATTTAATTGCCATTTATATAATTCCCAAGAATACTGAAGACTTTCCTCTTCTTCCCATTTAGTTCAACAGTCGCTACAACATTGGACTGACATACTTTCCAAAGTATTGTACAAGAAATGAAAGCCGGCAGAGATGTCCATTAAAGAATTCTTATACAGGTTTGTCCCTTAAAATTTACAAAGTAAAGTTCAAGCACAATAATAAATTTGGAAAAAAAAAACTACTAAAGAAGATTTACTTATTTTATTTCCAAACTTCATAAATATTTCTCCGTATTTCTAAATTATAGCGTGACTTTTGACCAAATAAAATCTTCGAATGTGTAAGAAAACTGTTAAATCAGCGTCATTATGACATTCAATGAAGACAACTTATTTGACATGTTTAACTATTTATTTATCTAAACGTTTCAATGATGGTAAACGTTTAACGTTAGAATATAGACCTTCACCAACTGCGGAACACAAAGTTTTTAGCAAAATACGTGATGCTGTAGAACCTATTTATAAGGTTGTCATTGTCTTGGAATCTTTCCATTTATCGTAGTTTACGAATTACTTCAAGAAAATCACGTTACTAACAAAACGCATGTTATTCATCAAAAAGCAATATAAACACTATCGCTTTCTGATAACATCATTGTGTATTTTAGTATCTACTTCTTAGTAGCTAAAACAATAATATAATAACTACACCATCTTTAGCTTTATCTTTGGAAATGTTTTCCAGTCTTCCTTTACAAAATGAAGGATTGTATTCATTCTTGACAACTTAGACTTTTTGACACAAATTAAAAACAGCTAAAAGAGTGTCCTAACTTTTCTGCACTAAAGTCAAATTATAAAAGTCCACCACTTGATTCCAAGGTGTGTAATGTTTTCCATAATTTAGGGTGATTATTTTCAGAGCATTTATCACTTTGCAATAAAATATTGTCAAACCAGAGATGGCAGGATTCTTTTAATAATTGTTCTTCACAAGACAGGTGTTGACTGGTAATACTGAGATCAATTATAAATTCATCTTCATTTTAGTTTGACCTTAGTTTTGTCGTAATTAAGACTTATTCCAATGACAGTTATATTTCTGTCGCTGCCTTTTAGTGCAACTGGAAAATGTTATTTTATTCTAGGTTAGGTAAGCTCAAGGTGGCTACACACATCAATTTCAATAAAACCTCGACCTCAAAATGTCTTTTCTTCAGCCTCAATGAAAAGTTCTTGGAAAATGCTGTAGCACATAGAATCACATAAGAACCTAATATTTTCACATTTTGTGCAAATATTGCCTGGACAATATATACTAAAACTATACTTGAGTATGTAGAAAATAACAAGTAATTCTACCAGAAATGTTGTTTACTGTTATTTTAACTTCAGCAAATAAAAATATCGAATATGGTAACATTGTTTAATAGTTTCTAGAACAACTACGAATTGCTTCTGCAGCATAAAATAGTCACAAGAACAACTTCAATGATCACTTGCACGGCTCTCTGAGAATCTTCTTGAAGGATTTCCGGAACTCTGTGTTATATATAGTATAGATGACAGGATTAACACAGCTGTTTATATAGCCTAACCAAGTAGTGAGAAGAAAAACTGTAACACCAGGTCGACAATTGGCACTTTTCAGTTTTATGCAGATCGCATCCATAATGTTACAAGTGAAGAACGGTACCCAGCAAATCAAGAACACACCTAAAAAGTATACAACACATAAAATATTTTCAGCTGAAGAGCTAAACTAATATCAAGTAACACATTTACTAAAACAATCAAAGTTTATTTGCACACAGCGAATGTTTAAAAATCAGACTGTCTCTGGTCACAAAATGCAATAAAGCATTTACTCAGTAATATAATATTTAAAGAAAAAACACTGAGATGGGACAATCTTAAACACTCTAAATGTTTCAACTTCTTACTTCGTAATCTTTAGGAGTGCACTTGAAACAGTCACATTTGTAAATATTTATTGAGTATTAGTAGTTCTGTGGTAGTTTCAAGTATAATAATTTAATGCTATTGTTGTTTTATTTAAATAAAAACAGCATAAGAAGATTGAAAATTAGTAAGTTGCTTCTTTCAAAACATGCGCTTCAAGATCACCAAAACTTTTTATGATTAAAATTAAAAAAAAAGTACAAAGCATTATATTTGTAAGGTAACTTCTATAATTTGAGTAATAAGTAATTTTTCCAGTTTACAAACAGAAAACTAATCATAAAAATAATTATGTGAAAAAACGTTACATTTGTAACATAGACCAGGGAGATTGTTTGATAATTAAATTAACTTTTGCACATAGTATCGCTTTACAAAGTGCTTTATCTATAAAATCTGTATTCAGCTACAGATAATTATAACAAAAAATTACAAATGAAAAAAAAAAACCACTAGTAATAAATATTAGCGAAACACACTTACCTAACACTATAGCAAGGGTCTTAGTTGCTTTACGTTCTCTTTTTGCGTAAGCCTTTTCACGTTTTTTGCGACTACTTTTATGTTTTCGTCCAAGATTAAATCTCGACTTCTTTTTTGGTATGTTTTCTTTAGACTTAGAATGACTACCATTATTACCACTAAAAGCTAGAGACAGAGTTTTTCCTGGAGTGCCATTTTTAGGCGCAGTCTCGGAAGCCAGGGATTTGATCGTGTCTGAAAGCTTTGGGGATTCAGTGCGAGGATTTTGTATGCAAAACTGCGTCTCTTCTATCTGGGAAGTCACATATCCAGAGTCTGCATTATAATTCTTTCCAGCAGTTTCGTTATCTGTTCTAGACACATCGCTCAGACAGAAGTTGGTTGTTTTCGTATTCTCAAAAATCTCACAGCGATCGTTTTCATCGTCATCTTTAACATCTTCCTCATAATCATCATCTCCTTGACTTCCGCTTCCGGTATTAGTGCAAGTTTCTGTTTCGACAACAATTTGAAGATGTTGTAATTTTTCTTTGTGCTCATCGTTGGATTTAGATGACGAATTTAGGGCTGTTTCCTGTTGTCGCTGAGTTTGTGACGCATTTTCGATCACAATCCCTGGTTTGGGATTGGAAGAAATGGGAAGCCTCTTTCCTAGGCTTCGCTTGGCTCTTTCATGGATGGCCACGAATATCTTGTAGTAGAGGAATACCATAACAAGACAAGGAATGTAAAAGGAACTCAGTGAAGAGTAGATGATAAAGTCAGAGTTGTAAAATATACATAGCTGAGGAATTCTCTCTGGAGTTGTGTTTAGGCCTAACACTATAGGGGAACCAATTGCAGCTGAAACGATCCAAACAATAGCTATGGTAAGAGCCACCCTCTTGTTGTTTTTGTGTTTGGAGTATTTGATTGGCTGAGTCACTGCTATAAATCTGTAAAATAATACTGTTTATATGAAGCTGTTTCATTGTGTAATCGGAACAAATGAGTAAATAATACAATATTTCAAACATGATCACGATTTCATCAAATATATTTACTTTCTCACATGATCTCAAGATATTTTAGACCAAAGATAATATTATTTTTAAACTGCCTCAACCTTTATCTAAATTTTAGAATTAAATTAGTACATTAACATGAAGGAAAAATTAGGCAACTAAAAGTTTAAAATGAATCCTTTATAAAGCTTAACACTTAATCGTTTTTTAAAGATACTGCATAACATAATTACAACAACATATTAGTATTAGTATTTTGAAATTAGCTAATCAGGTTTTATTTGGGTAACGTGTTAAATAATAATAGGCGTGTAAGTTGATACACATATTTTCGTAACAGATGGAAAAGATAAGATAATAGAAAATTACAATGTTATCAGTTAATGTGTGTTATAGTATCCCAAGTAAATAGCTGTCTTCTATTTAGTTTAAATCACGGACTGCTTAATATATTATGAGTAGCCAGATAAACATGAATGGTTGGTATGCCAAAGGAAATTGCGTAAGAAACTTTGTTATTTGAATTGTGCATTAATAATATAAGTATAGTTTTCAGTGTTACCCACAACTCAAAAAACTAAAGGGTATATAACGTTAGTTTGAAAATGTCTTAAGAAATTTATTACGTCCCTTGAGAGAAAAAAAAAACATTAATGAGAATAATCCTTCCGGCTTCATAAAGATGCAAAACTTGTAATCTTGAAGGCATTTAGGTGGTATTGTAATGAGTAAGTTATTGCGTTTGAACAATACAATGCATTGGGCTCTCTTCATGTTTTAAATGGTGTTCCCAGTTGCGAATTGATAAGTTTATTAAGTTTTATGACTTTCTAAAAGCTAGAAATAAACATTTCCTTTTGATCTGAAACTTGTTCTGAGTATGCTACCAGGTTATTACAGATGCTAGAGTGGGCCCGGCATGGCCAGGTGATTAGGGCACTCGACTCGCAATCTGAGGGTCGCGGGTTCGAATCCCCGTCCCACCAAACATGCTCGCCCTTTTAGCCGTGGGGGCGTTATAATGTGACGGTAAATCCCACTATTCGTTGGTAAAAGAGTAGCCCAAGAGTTGGCGGTGGGCGGTGATAACTAGCTGCCTTCCCTCTAGTCTGACACTGCAAAATTAGGGACGGATAGCGCAGATAGCCCTCGTGTAGCTTTGCGCGAAATTCAAAACAAACAAACAAATGCTAGAAGCTAAAGATTAGTTGTGTGTCTTTATAGAAAGCTGTTTTTACACATAAACATTTTAAATGTTTATATGATATACTTTACAAAATGAACGAGGGAATTAGATAAGTTCTGAAGATTTCCTATTTTTTATATCTTATATAAATGTGTTGAACATTATTTGGCTGTAAGATAAGAGAAAAAACTGAAAACAAAATATTTATAATAACATAAGAACACACGTAGAGTCAAGTAAGTAATATCAGTTTACAAACTGTTGGTTTCTTACACTGTCAGAAGCTACATTTGTGCCTCATAAATATATTTTGAAATAATCTACAGCAATTTTGAAACGAAATACATTTTTATATTTTAATATATTTCACAGTATATGATAAATATTTTGAGCTACCAGCTAATAGTTATTGATGTAAACTGCGTCACAAAGAAACACAAATACGTTTGTTACATATTTTCAAAACTTATCATATATAAAAGAAAAACTCACCTGTCAATACTTATAGCAACAAGGTTGAAGATGGATGCTGTGCTGCACGTGACGTCCACAGCTATGTAGAAGTCGCACAAAGTTTCACTCAACTCCCAGTCCACGTTAACCTAGAGACGCAAAATCACACATTGGTCAATTGGATCAGAAACTCAAAGTCACAGAAAACATGTAGGTAAGATACAAGAATTGTGGTTTTCATGTTCAAATTAGGATATATATAAACAAACATTGCAAATACATGTGGACGATATGTTATATGGTAAAACATTGTTTTGGGAGGAAGCTTTGTTAAAAAGTTTCAATGTGTCTTGTCATTATAAAAAGTATAAAATATAAACTTGTCAAAAACAAACAAACAATTATCGCTCCTGGCGATATTAGAACATCGATATTGTGTATGCCCTCTCAGTATGATAGCTTTAAAACATGATAACTAGAAAACAGACAGTGTTATAATCCATTGATCCTGTAATTATTCTTAACATAATTTGAAAACAGAATGTATTGTAATACACTGATTCCGGGTATGCTATTTTCAACAGGATACCTTGATAGCAGAGTGTACTGTAATGCGCTGACTATGTGTGTTATTTTCAACATGGTAACTTGAGAAGAGTCTACAGTGATGAACCGATTCAGTATTTGTAATTTTTAGTATGGTAACTTGAGTACTAACATCGATATTGTGTTTGTTTTTACTCTTAATATGAAAATTTCAGCATAGAGCGTACTATAAATATGATTATTGATTCTCTTTTCATAGAATCAAAAACCTTTGGATAAAACGTAAAAGGTTCTATACCTTTTATGTGAAAGTAAAGTTAGCATCTATACTTGATATATGAGTTCAGTTAAAGGAACTCCTATCTTACTGTCGTCTTTATCCATCTGCAGAAAATTATTACAGCCTGAACTAATGCTACTAAGCCATGGCTGAATATTAGTCAAACTTCAACTTGGGAAACACAACAAACAACAGTATCATATTTTACCTTAAACTGTTTTGTTTGTTTTGTGCTTTTAGTTTGATAAACTTAAGGTTTAAAGATCGTGTGTGCTGGTTGATTGTTAGAGGCAGGAGTCTGTATTTTTCAAACTTTCGAATTAAGTCTTTGTTTGCAAGTATTTTATTTGCTTCATAAAATATCATTAACCTGATAGATTATTTTGAAAAAAGACATGTAAACTACACCAGATCAGTTTATATTAGTACTGTTAGCTATGCAGTAAATATAAAATGTTACAGCATTGATGAGTTGTTCCTTCATAAAAAAAAGCGTACAGATGACTAACAGCAACTATTAAAGTTATGCATAAAAGTTGATATGCTAACTACGTATTAAAGCTGTTCTAAATAAGAGCTGATGGACTAGCTACGTGCTAAAGTTGTTCTATATGAGAGCCGATAACTTAGCTACGTGTTAAAATTGTTCTAAATTAAAGCCGATACGCTAGCTACGAACTAAATTTATTCTATATGAAATTTGATAGACTAGCTACGTGTTAAAGTTGTTGTAAATGAGAGCTGATACGCTAGTTACGTGATAAAGTTGTTCTAAATGAGAGCTGACACGTTAGTTACGTGATAAAGTTGTTCTAAATGAGAGTTGATACGCTAGTTACGTGATAAAGTTGTTCTAAATGAGAGTTGATACGCTAGTTACGTGATAAAGTTGTTCTAAATGAGAGCTGACACGCTAGTTACGTGATAAAGTTGTTCTAAATGAGAGCTGACACGCTAGTTACGTGATAAAGTTGTTCTAAATGAGAGTTGATACGCTAGTTACGTGATAAAGTTGTTCTAAATGAGAGTTGGTACGATAGTTACGTGATAAATTTGAGTTTGATCTATGAAAGCTTGATTTCACGAGTGTTAATAAAAATGAAACATCTAAATAATCATATAAATTTTTTAAACATATTTTCCTTGAAGAAGTTTTAACATTTTCCAATACATTCATTATCACTGAGTGGTATCATATTGGCAAATTTTAATGATTATCAAACAAGATAAAAAATTCAACCTTTTTTCTCTACAGAATTTTACAATTCTATTTGTCTTCTGCGCAACATTTGACGGCTGGCTGTAGTGTAATATAAATAGGTTGAAACGTAGTAGTGTAATATGATAAATAGGTTGAAACGTAGTAGTGTAATATAAATAGGTTGAAACGTAGTAGTGTAATATGATAAATAGGTTGAAACGTAGTAGTGTAATATAAATAGGTTGAAACGTAGTAGTGTAATATGATAAATAGGTTGAAACGTAGTAGTGTAATATGATAAATAGGTTGAAACGTAGTAGTGTAATATAAATAGGTTGAAACGTAGTAGTGTAATATGATAAATAGGTTGAAACGTAGTAGTGTAATATAAATAGGTTGAAACGTAGTAGTGTAATATAAATAGGTTGAAACGTAGTAGTGTAATATGATAAATAGGTTGAAACGTATTATTTTATGAATTTCCCATCATATTTCATATTGTCTAGAAATATATTTGAAGTCATTATTAATTAGGTCTGTATACAAACGGTTAATCCGATTTGAATCCCCAATAAAATGTAGAAAATATATACTAATGGGATCAAGAAAAGAAGTTCCTTATGTTCTTTATCTTTCTGCTTTTCATACACTGTTAAAATGGGAAGTACGTAAAGAAAAACAGACAATAACGTATATTGTTAAAATAAATCATGCTGTGAACATTTCTGTTTTTCTTTCTTCTTACATTCAACGATAACGAACATTTGTCAATTGCTTTATTAGGACTTACAATCCTTTTTCTAAATAGAATGAAGTTTGTCTAAAACAACCTAAGCTTCAATTGAAACTAAAGATCATACTTAGATTTCTATTTCCGTTTAAACAAAATGTTAAAAACTTACAGATAACATTCTGATTTTTCGAAATTTAAATAATGTAAATTTGCTTTAAACGTAAAGAAAAACAGCACAATACTTAGTCAATTAGCAATTATTATTTTTTTTTTTGTCAGTGATTTTCAGCCAGCCAAGTGCGTGTGAATGTACGTTAGTCTACTGTAATTATATGATGTAAAATCTTTTGACGTTCGTATGATGACTATATGAGTTTTATCTTATATTCACAATGGAACTTTAGATCCACAGTCCATTTACTCTAACTACTGGACCACGCTCGGCACACAAGATAAGAGTAATGATGAAATCCCATTATTTGGTCCAAAAAGAGTAGCTTAAAAGTTAGAAGTGGCTGATGGTAATTAGCTGCATTCCATCTGGTATATCAGCGTGAAATTAGAGACGTCTTTTGCATATAGTCCATATACGAAATTCAAAATACAAACAAACTTTCATATTCTGGTTTTTAAGTCAAGATCGGGAAAGAGATAGATTGGAGTTGATTCAGTTCTTTCCTTACCAGTACTTCCTCTATAAAAGGCAAACAAAATTACCCGTCAGTTAACAAGCTAAATCAGACGTTTCAACTTAAATAGCATCATGAAATCTACTCGAAACATTTATCAAGAGTGAAAAAATGATTGAACACCCACGTTTATATTGCAATAAAAAAAAGGCAGAAGTACAGTGTTTGTGAAATTTGTGTGAAGTTCTCGTGCAAAAGACGCGCCAACAAGAAAATCTAGTCAGACAATAACGAACTATATTTCGGTATGATAAAATCTAGTCAGACAATAACGAACTGTATTCCGGTATGATAAAATCTAGTCAGACAATAACGAACTATATTCCGGTATGATAAAAATCTAGTCAGACAATAACGAACTGTATTCCGTTATGATAAAATCTAGTCAGACAATAACGAACTGTATTCCGGTATGATAAAATCTAGTCAGACAATAACGAACTGTATTCCGGTATGATAAAATCTAGTCAGACAATAACGAACTGTATTCCGGCATGATAAAATCTAGTCAGACAATAACGAACTGTATTCCAGAATGATGATTCCCTGGCCCTCTATAACGATCTATAGTCGAATGGAATAATTCCCAGCAGACCCGAAAGTGCATCACTTATAATGGTATATTTTCGAATTATGTTTAAAGTAACTTGAATTTAATGGTTACAGTTCAATCTACTGTTTAGTAAAATGATTTCACAAAACAGAAAGAGCTGACATTACGATTTCACAATATATTTTGCTTTATTTAAAGCTTTCGGATAATGGTTAGCTTTAGTGTTGTATGGAAACGGACATTTATTGTACTTAATGTTTGCAGAGATTAATTCTCCATATAAATACGAGTAATAGAAACTTTCACACTATAAATTGGTTCATTTTACTTATCGTTTCATTGTTCTTACTTCATGACTTGTAAGATGTAATGTTAAAAAATGAGACTGGACAATTTTTAACAGCGCAGGTAGTTCATAGTGTTGCTTTACGCTTAACAGTGAAATTGATTTTTTATAATATGTTTATGAAATGACACGATAACACACGTTAAACCATAACATATGTTAACTATTCATCTAGTTATAAAATGTTAAACGTTTAAGTTTAGTAATTCCCTAAAATTAAAGTTAAGCGTCAAGATACGTGACCAACCTTCCTTTTTATCCGCTAGGTGACAACACTGTCGTTAATGTTGAAAATAGCGAATATGTGCACAAGATAAAGAAAAACCGACTTTCACAAACGTAATTTACGTGCAAAGCTTCAGAAATGTTTCCACCGATCAAGGCAATCCATCATAATATCCAGAGTAAACCAATTTGTTATATATGTGACTTTAGGTGCTTTCAAACTAATTGAACGATTTGAATTTTATGACGAAGTGAATGTTCTAGTTGTGTGTGCTCTAAAACACTAAATTTCTAGTTTTGATATAAAAGTTAAAATGTTTTGTTTTTTACACAAGTTTGCTCGAAAAAACTGTTTTATACTTGCAAAGTTACTGAATAGATTATCTGTACTCTGCTCACCACAGGCATCGAAACCTGATTTTTAACGTTGTAAGCCTGACAACTTGCCCCTGAGCCACTGGACGAGGGGTGAGGGTGGAAGGACAAGATAAAATGAAATTAGAAGATAATGTTAGTGTAGTGTTTGACGTTGCACAAAATTTAGTGTCATTTCGGGAATTATTTAATTAATTGCTC